CGGAAAGCAGATTGAACTTCCCTAAAACTCCGGAGTGAATAAAGTTCCTGCTCTAGTGTTATAAGTGCTTTCTTCACATCACCGGCCTGTATTCCTTCCGGATTATCAGGGTCCAACAAGCCTAACCTGAGTAAAGAATCCATAATCTCATTTTCTTCTCCGGTGAGGGGGTTTTTTTTACATTCCCTACTGGTGACAAAACAGTAGTCTCCACCAATGGATTTCCTGTTTCATCAAAAAGGTTGCCCAAATCATTGTCCTCCAACTCGTTTGTTAGAACTGTCCGCTTTCCATAGAAATATCTATTTAACCGAGACAGAACCGCTTCTTGCATTCTACCGATTTCGATTCCATCCTCTGGGCTAATATAATCTTCTAAAAGAATCAACCGACTACCTATATGCAACAATCTAGACTGACATCTAGGTGGCACACCCTTGGATGAAATCCGAATCGTCTCATCGATCTCATTAAACTTTGCCACACAAACACGAAAGTCCATAACCGGATTTTGCTTGAGCGATTTTTTTGGATTTTCCTCTGATTTTTCATTCTTTAACGTCTCTCTTAGCGCTCTTCTTTTCCTTGAGATTGACTCGTTATTATTGAAAACAATATCCCTGACTTCAAGCTCAAAATCTAACTCATCTTCATTTAAATGATCTACCCGAATGTCACAATATAGTTGCTTTAACTTTTCAACGACTAAATCAAGTTCATTTGCCATTTCTACTGTTTATCAATAAGAAGAAAAGCTATATGCAGAAAAAAAATCAATTCAATTCAAATCACTTAATTACTAATAACTTCCGCTTAATTAACTAAATAGTTTTAATGCAATTTTCAGTTCAATTTAATTCCACTTAATCCTAAATTTCAATTCACTTATTCCTTGTTTTTCAATTCACTTATTTCTAATTTTAAAATTCACTTATTTCTGAAATAAACCGTTAGCAATCAATGGAAAAATAGTAATATAAATTAGAGATCTTATGCGTCGTATTTACAATGGAAATGTTGACTCAAAGTGGATCAAACAGAGTTTAATGCTTTCTCGTTGAACCAATACGCTAACGTAACACCACGATACAATCACGATGAATAGGAGGGAGAATCGTGAGTCTCCCGGAGCAAGTAGAAAAATGTTCTTGCAGCAAGAATATTTTTTTTTTGTTTGGTTGGATCGCCAATTGTTATTTACGGCTAGCTCAGTGCTAATGGGTTTCTTTTCAGGGTCGGCTACATTCACTTGCTTCGGGAGGACATCACACATACAACCAATCAACATGAGAATAATAGGCGGAACAATACAGGACACCAAGACAGTCTCTCAAGAAAAAAAAGGCACAAACACAGAAAATAAGCTTATTCATTATATAATTTTCAATTTAAAAGATACATCATAAGGGGGGGTCGTTGCGGCCGATCAGGAAACGGTGGGGCCCATGCGTAGAGGGAGAGAGAGAAAGGGATTTTGTAGTTTGGTTACCTCTGATGATAGGGTGGTCAGCTACTCCAATCAGCACCCATGATCCTGGTCTCCATGGGGGGAACTCCGCCGCTAGGTTACCGATGTCGTTGCGTAGATCCGTAGCTCGGCGTACCTTCTCGATGCTCCGACAGAGTAAGGTTTGAATAACCGACGTTCCACGCGCTCGCAGACGGGGCAGTAGCACATTGGATTTTGGGCACTGGCAAGCGGGGGCGGACCCGCCAGACCTTACCAGACCCTCACCGCCACAGCTTTGGCTACTGCTCGCCCGTTGCGTGTGTCGTAGCAATGGCGGATACTCGCTAGACACCAGCGCGGGACTCGCCGATCCCCAACTCACTTTTTCCTGGATCGTGGTTAGAGCGCACGTGGGAACTATTGTCACCGTCTCCGTTTGCGGGTATTTAGTCTCCGGGGGGGGTCTCCTTGGTACCACTTTCCACACGGTTTCTCCAAGGCCAACACTCGTCGGAGGTCTCTGCTGGAGGAATTGAACCCAGGCTTCGGTCTCCCAATGATGTCCTTTGGGCCTCAGGTTGACAAGCACTATCCTTGAACCACTTTCCTACTTATCTTCCGTTCTTAGTTTTTCTTTATATATTTTTGATCCAAACTCTTGGACGGTCTACCACTTTCTGCCGGCTTTAGCAAAACTCCTTCATCATCTCCCCTCTCTCTCCCTTTTCTTCCTTTCTCTCTCTCTTTCTTACTCTCCTCTTCTAATTTTCCGGTGATCCGTGATGCCAACATTTTAGATGCATAAATGACATGTAATCGAACGGATAAGATGTGAGCCGTTTTCGAGGGGTTAGTAGATTTTAAACTAGGTAATATTAATGCGGACTTTGCCGTCTTTTGTTTTTTTATTTACATTTTTATTGTTTTTATTTATTTATTTATTTATTCACAGTTATCTGCATGCAAAGATTTACAAACATTAATATAGTGGGCTGGGTAACTAATTGAACGGTTTATATTTATGTTAGGTATAATTTATTTACAAATGAAAATGTGCCAAGGGAAAATATTGAATTCAAATAATTATTTCTATATATATATACTAACAAATCTAAACTAATGAAAAAAGGACCTAACCCTAACCTCAACTAATCTCCTTGTGTGCCTTGCCTTGAACCAGACTATTGTTCCCAAGTTGTTGGTAACAATTTATAGCTTTGAAACTATCAGTTAGTATATGAATTGTGGATTGCACTGAATCGCGATTGACTTTGATACTCCAGTTTGAAAAGGATCGATCTTTTATAGTCGTTTAAACTGCATGAGTTTGTTGATGATGTGCTATCAATACAGTCGGTGGATCGTACTAATGGTATCATCGGAATTCCCATGCTATTTTCCTGTATTCACTCGTTATCAATCAGTCTCGCATGCATCTCTTTACGGGGGAATTTCCAACGGTGTAGCCTAAATAGAAGTTATGTTGATGCATGTTTAGGAATTCCCCGAAGAGTGATGTAGATAATTTAATCTTTGCACTGCCATTCTCCTGCGGGTTGCTAGTCAATAGAATGGATTTTTTGTATGTTATTAGTGTCAATATAATTTTCAAAGCGCTTGATCTTTGGATCTTAGTGTCAATATAATTTCCTTGTAATTTGATGTACCAATCACTGTCAGGAAAATCATTCTCAAATCTCATTGATAGAGTGCGTGCAAATCGGCAAACAAATCTCACGAAAATACCAACAGTCGTAAATGAGATCAACGGGGTTGCAACTCGGAGGTGATAGACGATCTGAAAAATACTGTCATATGAGAAATATCACCAGAGGTAAAACATCGAGATAGCATGAAAAATGGTGTGACATATGTATCTCACATGTTATCAAGTTTCCAGAACCGTTTAGCTATATCCAAATTTCAAGAAGCATAAATTGCAAGACCACTCTAGTGGCACCTTGTTTCTTTAAAATATTTTCCAGACTATCGAACCGCACAAAGTGGAATTGTTCCAACCGAACGTTGCCTAACATAACAATGGCCCTTGAATCGCTTTCTTCAATCATGGTACATGTTTGAATTTGGTAGTACAGTGTACTCAACAGATGGCGGTTATGTTTTAGCGACGATGTTTTACAGTGAGAAATATTCAATGTGTTATGTCTGTTTGTCTGTGACGATACTGTCTTTAGTTTAGTTTTGACAGCTGATTGTTGTTGACGTGTTTGGCATCATGTTGAGTATGGATAAAAACGATTTTCGTTCTCGCATAACACATTATTTTTTGAGAAGCAAAACGGCGAAGGAAACAAAAGAAAAGTTGGATAAATATTATGGGGCTAATGCTTCGTCAGATATTGGTTTCGAGTATTTCGTGGTGGCCGCAACTCCACTACCGATCAAGTCCGCAGCGGCAGGCCCTCCGATGTGGTTACAGAGGAAATGTCAAAAAAAAAAAATACATGAAATGGTGTTGGCTGACCGGAAAGTGATTTCTTAAATTCAGTGACCACCCTTCATCATGCTGATGACCATTTTTGCTAGAAGCTGGCTCATCAGCGCTAGTTAACCAGCACTAATTTAAACATGTCTTCAAACACATACTTATGCACTAAGTTGTTTTTATTCCTATTGGGTTTTACTTGAATTAGTATGATTAACATTGAACATTTAAATGCTTTATAATTGCTTTTTACATGCTTAAGTTAGATATGCTTCTGAAACCTGTTTGCTCTTTTGTAAGAGAATAATAATAAAAATACAACATTACGTCCTTCCTAAATGAAAAAAAAGATCAGAGTAGGCCGCACTGCAAAAATGACGTGATTTTGTTTTGCAACGTCGTTTTTGCTCTTGCATAAATAAAAATTTTGGACTATAAAAATTTAATTGAAAGCACCGAAGAGGTATTAAAAGTGTTTCAAGTGATAATTATCAAATCCCATGCGTCCCTAGTATTTGTCGCAGTGATCAGTGATATGAGGTGAATGTAGAATCAACTCCTTCCTGTTCCGTGGAATGAGGTGCCGTTTGTTCTAAATAACACCCTGGAACGCTCAGCTAAATTAATTTACGATCAATATAATTATTTTTTCCATATAAATTGCAACTATAATTTTTATCACTAAATACGTGCCAATATCAAAGAAGTATTTTTGTTGATTCTGGAAATGTGAATTCATTTTAGATATATCCATTTGATATGTGAATGTGTTCATGCGGGGTATATGAATTGTATTTGAAGTATAAAAGTAAGTAATCATGATTTTACTCAACATTAAGTTCCCATTCCCAACAGGGGGTTTTTTTGCTCTTCGGTTTGTGACAACATTAGAAAGAGTGAAGGAGATAAAGAACTCTTAAATCAATAAAAGTGATATTTTGCAGGTTGAAAGGGACCTGAAGCTTATGAGAGTATTCATAATTCAAGATTCTTGCTAATTGCATCAGTGATTGAGTGAATGTTAAGTTAAGAATGAAGTTAACAAGGTTGTGCATTTGAAAAGAAAATACTTTTGTTTATTTTTCATATCGTCCTTTTATTTCGAGAGCTATCAACAGTTGTTACAGTGCTGTTAACATAATCAGTCCTGAAGATTTTTCTTCTTTTCTACCTTTGTTGCACAGTAAATAATTAAAATAAATATTAATAACACATTTCATAAGAAGAGTAAGTCTATCCACCGAATGCTGGACCCCCAGGATTTCCCATGCCCTGGGCACCGGCTCCTGCGTTGGCCATTGATCCTCCAAATCCTCCAAAAGGACTGCCTTGTCCCATGCTTTGTGCTGCAGCGTTGGCACCGGAAGCACTCATTCCCATTCCGGGGAATCCACCCTGGCTAACGCTCTGTGAACCTGCGTTGGCCGATGAACCGCTCATTCCCATGCCTCCAGGGAATGCTCCGTGACCCATCGATTGGGAAGCGGCGTTGGCGGATGAACCACTCATGACCATTCCCATACCAGGGAAGCCTCCACCCATTCCCATTCCTTGGGATGCAGCCTGGGCTCCAGCTCCGGATGCTCCCATTCCAAACTGTGGGGCACAGCTTACGATGGCGATGGTACTGGCAAAGATAGCGAACACAGCGAACGATTTCATCTTTGTATCGTTAAACTTAGCAGAAGGTCTTTTAATTGTTTGAACTGTAGACTGCACTGAATCGTAAATGAATGTGATGCTTTGGTTTGAAATCAGCGGCATTTTTATACACACTCAAGTGCAATGCGTTTGTTTTTGATGTGCATTCGCAATCGGTTATTCAGTCTACTTGAGTAATACCCAGACTGTCCTAGTAGATTCGTTATCAATTAATCTCGATTGGGGCAACTTGCAGCAATGGTAGAAAACAAATAACTCTGTCCGCAAGGAATTACAAATGTTGTGAATAATTATTTCATGTTTTTGCTACGCTACTGGCCGTAGATGGATATCAACAGTATAAAATGGATCTTATCATAAACCCGAAATCTTCTCGGCTCCAGAATAGGCGTATGTTGTGTATCGACAATTCAAATTGTTAAATTATATGTGTCAATTGCGTTTCAAACTGATAATTGTATGATGTTCAAAAGTAGTTTTTTACCCTAGCCAGATTTCGAAACAGAGATGAGGAGTCCAGCCGAAAAGGTCACTAGGTCGAATGAGTCATTAAATTAATGTTTAAATAAAAAAAAATTGAAAAAATATCAAACAAAAATCGATTTTTTAGACCACCCTAACATGTAAATTGTCACCCTAATGACAAAATAAAATAAAATATGGGTCTAATATTTTGTGATAAGAAACAAAACTACCAAATTTTATAAAATTCTGAATAACACTATATCGATTTTCTATGGTTTGGATTAGCTGTATTTTAAAATTATTTTAGTATTTCTTTCTATGTTTGGTGCCAGGGGAAAGGGGGGAGAAACAGAATGGATTTAGAATTCATTTCGGATATTCGTTTTTTCTTTCGCCGTCTTGCGTGGAAAAGGGGTTATATGGGGATCGGCATCATATACGACGGAGTGACGTTGACATTGTTGGGTTCCACTGGTTTTTTTTCGATCTGGAGTTTTAATTGGCCACTTGTCTAGGTGGGTCTCCGGATCCATGACTTCGGTTTCGTCGCATGTTGGCCGTTTTTGGTTGAATTCCGAGGAATAGCTGCAGCTAAATTCTGCCAAATTAATATTATTATTTTTTATTTAAATGAACAAAATTTGGTTCCAAGAACCATTCGACCTTTTGTCCCTCTTTGAACGATTCAACCTTTTGTCTCCCTTCTAATTATCTGAGCTTGTTTCCATTCGACTTTGTCTCTCTTTGAATCATTCGATCATTTGTCACCATTCGACGTTTAGTCTATTTGAATTTTGTTGTTCCTCTTTGGGCCATTCGACCTTTTGTCTCTCTTTGGGTTGTTTGACCTTTTATCCCAATGTTGCGACCTTTACTAAGTGTTTCACCAGAGATTCCTGTGATCGTATCGCTGTTTCCGGTAGGTTGAGAATTTCCAGTAAACAGAAACAAAAGTTGTTGAATATTACATCCAAACTGCTGCAACCAGGTCAATCCATCGGTTGTGTAATATAACGTTGCACGATGTACATCGATTTTGCGAACAAAATTACATCCATTGATGTAAAATTGTATCTGCTTTTTGCTATTACATCATTATTTCATTCATCAGCTTGAACTACATTGATCGATATTACATTTTTTTTTTTGCTGTTTAGTCTGCTCCCCAGTAAGTGTATACGTGTTCCGGAATATAAATGTCTATTTTCCAGGCACTCCAGATGCATTCACAGATTTTTACCATAGAGGTAGCTCTAAGACCAGAAGGTCCCGAAGAAACGAGCTCAACTTTTTGGCTCAGCTTTGGTACTATCTTCGGTCCCAAGCTAATCGATTCACCCCTCAAAACATACGAAAATCCACTAACCCCTCATTTTATCTGTCAGTCAAACTTTCATAGCAAATCAAAACAAACATAGTGTAGTACTGGAATTTATACTAGAATGGGGTACGTTAGTCGCTTTGCTTGGGACCAATAGGCTAGTCACGTGGTGAGCCAATTTAAAATCGTTAGTTTCGTATTGATTGTTGTTTTTACTGCAAAACACTTTATTTCACGGATACTACATTTATTGCACTCTACATTAAAACTACAACACTACAGATTAATAGGATGATAAGTAATTGATCTTCCTAGTTTGGTGGCTGGATATGAACTTTGCCGTAAGTCTACAATACTGTCCCTCACGTGGATTTTGGGCTTCAGTTTCTTCCCCATAATGAGTACCATAGAAGATGATGGCAGAGCGTCGAAGAATCAGGAAATGTCCTGTGAATATACGGGACAAAGCGAAGAGCCTTTCCAAGAGAGATTTACGTATTTGGACAGGTACTCACCTGTTGAGCCTGTCAAATAGGCCTTGTACAAATTGTCTCTCTGGAACCTGCTTACAATTCTCCGACCAATCCAAAACACCGATCACCAGTATCAGCCAAGGTTTAAGTCTTCGGAGTACCAGCAACTAATTATAGATTCACCGTCCAGAGCCGATACTGCAAATATAGTCCAAGTGGAGCACCTTCCGACCCACCAAAAAGACAGATACTCACTTTGTGAGCCTGTCTGTAGGCCTTGAATTAAGTATAGGTCGTAGCAACTTCAATTGTTCCAAATGCACCGGTGAAGTCCAAGTCGCACCATCCAAATAGTCGAAAAGCCCCCGAACACCGTCGAGTCGTCAACGGTTAGATTCTGACCTGATGGATTTGCTTTACAATCCAATCTCGATCCAGGTCGAATTAAGTTCCGTCCAGCCGTTCTCCACCACCAAGTCCACGCCGAGAGGAGTGCCGAGAGGAGCAAAAAAAAAAGTAACCAGGTAGGGGTGAAGACTTATTGGAACTTGTTGGCCAGGTACTCACCTTTGTTACTCCTTTCTATACCCTCCTTCAATACAAACGAATAAAGGAAAGCTCACAGGGTCGTTTTATGTTTACTCTCTCTGACACTGCACCTTCTAGCATAAAGAAGAAACATGAACAACATGAACGCTAAAAGGTTCATCAGGGTTGAATCCAACTAGATACATTAGTTTCACCAAATCTAACCTCGGAAAGATTTCAGAAAGCAAGGGGTGGGAAATTCCAGCATTGTGTGAATTTTCATCGTCGAAACACGAATAACTCAGAAATGTGTGAAATTCTAGAAATATCTACTTCTTAATAAATCAACAAAGCTGTAATGTGTTATTTAGAAATCATGCCTCGATACTTGAACATTTATTTTGATGGTTTACAACATACAAAATCCTACGTGATCACGTGTTTTATCTGTTTCCTTTTTACTATACATGTCAACTAACTTATGTGTTTTGTCTTCGTACTATTCTGTTCTTGCATGCTAATTTGTGTTTTAATAATTAGACCAGCGCGACTTACGGTTTTGGTGGTGGGACTGTGGTGGTAGTGATGATGGTGACTTACGGTTTCGGTGGTGATGGTGATGGTGGCTTTCGGTGATGGTGGCTTACGGTGATGGTGGCTTACGGTGGTTTTAGGCGTTATGATGGCGTCCTTGAATGGCTACAAACAATGACCACAGCAATGGTTTCCCTGACCATGCGTCGATCTGACTATAATGGACTTATTGTCTATTGCATCGCCATTTTGATAAAGAACGTGGATCCACAACTTGGACGTCGAGAATTTCCCGCTTCTGCCGTTGTCTCCAAGGGAGTACACGCAGGGTTGATTTCTGGCTCCGGGAATCGTATAGCATTCACGTGTGTCCAAGTTGGGAGTAGAACTGGAAATAAATGTCCGATTTGTGCACAACGGACGGAAAAAGGCCTAGTCAGGCCTATTAAAACAGGCATTAGTCCCAACCACACACATACACCATAATTTCCGCGTCGAATTGGAAATCTTAACCATACAAAACTTTACCTTTTTCCGATCTTCAACGTGTAAGACCCGCTTAACGGAAAGGGACCACGTTGGCTTTGTTTTACACAGAACCCTAAATAAGGTAACACTAACAATTAGTTTATACACTACTAACAAATAACTAACTCTTTACCTTATTACACACTACTAACACTACTATTACACGAAACACTAACTCCCTTACTACACACTACTAACTTTCCTAAAATAAAAGAATTAAATATTACTCAAAAATCACACTTTTCACTTCGGACAACTAACTCGATTTTTAAGAACACGCCCGCACTACTAACTATCTCGAAGTCTTGAGCCAGAAAGAAAGAATTGGTTTTACGGCGGTATCTAGAAGGTTCTTGGGGCTTCCTTTTTTTGACAAAACCAATATTATTCATTCGTGAATCATGTTCCTTTTTTATGCTGCATTTACAGTGTAAGAATAGTGAAAGTCTAATACGGTCGACTACTGAATGAACACCGTCTACTGACACATAGGTGGCAGCACTACTTTGCATAAGGCAAGGTGTTTTTAAAGGAGGTGGTGCACTTGGCGAAGCTAATGCAAATCGATTTAAGAAACCAACGGTTACACCTTGTAAGTCTGTCAAACAGGCCTTGTATGCTGTGTATCTACCGGCTACTAAAACAGTACTTCCAAGCTGACGCCAACCAAGCAATGTCATGGCGTACGTCTTTTATACTCCGAGTCAATGCACCAAGTCGCAATGATGGAGTAATGGCGTATGTCCTTTGTCGGACGAATCAATGCACCAAGTTGTAATGATGGCGTAAGTCCTTTGTCCGTAGACTCAAATATGGTCCTACCGACACCGCGTCGGTTCTCTGGAACAAAATCCTGGTCACGGCATTGAACCATTCGACTTTTGTCCATTCGACCTTTTGTCTCTCTTTGGATCATTCGACCTTTTGTTATAATTCAACGTTTAGTCTATTCTTATTTTTGCTCCTCTTTGGGCCGTTCGACCTTTTCCCTCTCTTTAAAGCCGTTTGAACTTTAGTCCCTTTGAACCATTCGAGCTTTTTCCCCCTTATCATCATTCGACCTTCTGTCCATTCGACCATTTGACTTTTTGTTTATTTGACCTTTTGTACTTTTGACTTTCGTATTGGAAGTATTGGATCTGAGAGTGTATTAAAAGTGCAGTTTATCGGTAGCAGTTTGAGCTGATTGGAAACG